GGGGGGAGGGGGGAGTTGGGGGGAGATGTGTGGGACTATACATTTATTAACAGGTAAAACAAATAATTAATTCTTAACCTCTACCTAATTTTGGTTACCTTAAAGCCCATCGTTATTCCAGGAGGAAGGGCAGACAGGCTCTGAAAGGTGGCATGATAAGCCCAGAGTCTCCTAAACTATCCGGGCCACCAGCCAAGCCCTAGTGGCCCTGTGTCCCCTAACCATCCCTGGCCTTTTGCCTTCCTCCCCACAAGTTTTACTCTCAGCTGAGAAAGGGGCCCAGCTTCCCAGGTTCTGGCTTAAGTGAGATCAAAACGCAGCAGAAGTGTCAGAAATGCAGTGCTGACCGATCGCAGTGTCGCCTTAAGCACTGCAGCTGCCTGGGCTCTCTGTCCTCCCCCCACATTCCCTCTGTATCCCCATCTCCCCTGGGTGGCCGTGGCCTCCTTGGCTTGGCACTGCTGTTTCCCCTGCTTAGAATGCTACCTCCTCCCTTCTTCTGCCCACCCATCAAGACCCCGCTCAGATGGCGGCGTCTGGTGTGAGCCCTCCCCAAGGGCCCTGGGCCAGCGCCTCTGCATCTCTGGCCCGAGCGCGGGGCCAGGCACAGCAAAGGGGTCAGCCGTCTTTGTCGAATGAATGAATGACGTGCTTCGATTCAACAAACAGCTTCGCTGTGCCAGACCTTGGGCCCAGGGCTGAAATAAATGACCCCGTTACTAGATGCATCAGCCCTCGCTCCCACCTCCCCGCTCCCAGCTGTGAAAACTCCTCTGCATGAGGCATCCTGTGGGGCCTCCTGGGGGAAGCAGTCAGGTGGGATTCTGGGACCTGCAGGGAGTTGCCCAGTCCCTGGCCCCTCTGCACCACCCAGAGCCCAGAGGTAAATTCGTTGCTTTGGGGGCCACTTAAGAGCTCAGACTCCGAACCTGTTTGCTAAGGTCTGTGTCGGGGCTCTGGGCTGCGTATGTAGAAGGAGGAGCAAACCTTCGCAGGTTGCAAATGGCAAATCAGCATTTCTCTTTCTCTCCTTTTTCCAGAACCTCCGAGACCCCTGGCCCACCTTTGCCGGCTTCGAGTTCGAAAGGCCATTGGGAAGTACCGTATAAAACTCCTGGACACGTTGCCGCTCCCAGGCAGGCTGATTAGATACCTGAAGTATGAGAGTACCCAATAACCGGGTACTCTTCAGACTGGGTGCTCTTCAGACTGTTTTCACTGAATCTCAGGACCGCGATGTCCCCAAATCCAAGAGGACCTGGTGACAGATGAGGCTGTGGGATGCTCTCCCTGAGCTGGGGCAGCCACTGTGACCTCGCCAGGTCTCTGGGCCAGAGCTGTGCCCAGAGCAGAGAATGGAATGTGTCCAGTACGGGGAAAACAAACCAGGTTTATTTTCAAACGAACGAGTAGATCCCGGACCTTCTCTGCCATCGGGAATGACAGGAACCTCCATTCCTGGGGCGGGAGAGGCCGGCAGGGCAGAACTTAGGGTGGGCCGTGGCTGGAGCACCTTCGGGCTGAGTCTGCCTTTGCCAGACAAGCTCGTTGCAAAGTTGGACCCTGTACCTTCCCCTTTGCCCTGTGAAACTCTCCCCAAAGGTGTGGCCTGGGTGGGGGTGGGGAGACCCTCAGGCCCAGCGGGCTTCCGTCAGTACAATAAACATTGCGCAGAGGCCGCCTGGCACAGCACCGTCCCTCTCACCGGAACCCCCAGGCCTGGGGTCCTCAGTCCTGCTCCTGGCAGGAGTAGGGGTGGGGCAGGGGCTGGGGCCAGGGCACACAGATCCATGAACACACGTGTCACCTTGGTTCGGGCTTCTGAAAGACCCAAGAGAGTGTGTCCTTCATGCACCAAAAGAGACCCGACAGCCCGAGGATGGGGTAGCTTCCTGCCCTGCAGTCAGAGCCAGCCGTCAAGGTTGGTTCTCTCTCCTGGTTCAATCGTCATGGAACAGGAACTTCATCACAAACAGGATCTCAGTGCCCACAGGTCTCCTGACACCTGGGATTGTCTCACACGAACATGTGCCCTGGCACTCGATCTCCAGGTCCTGCTCACACCTGCTCTGCTATGGAAGTTAAGATAGCACTGTACTGGCTACTGTGAGCACAGGTGCTGGAGCGATGGCCATCATCCGCATTTGCAAAGCCACCCAACTTGAGAGGCATGACGCCCTGTCCCCTCGGTTGCCTCCTTCAGTCCCCACATGGCTCTGTGGGGTGAGCCAGGCAGGCGCTGCCAGCCTGTCGTCCACTGTGCAGGCGAGAAAGCTGAGGTCGGGCAGAGGGATGAGTCCCGGGCGCTGAGACCAGCACACCGTTCCCATGAGAGTTTCAGTGACACACGCGTGTTCTCTCCCCAGGTGTGATTAAAGCTATGGGAGGGGACACCAGAGCGGGCCACCTGGCTGGGTGCCTGGGCCAGGGCTGCCCCAGAATCTGGACGTCTTAAGTGAGATCAAACACGGTTTCTGGCCTTTGAAAGATGAGCTGCTGGGCGGGCAGGGAGCTCCTGTTCCAGGCCCAGCTCCGCCTTCGGCTCGCTCCCCTAGGGCCTCGGGCTCCTCACCGCTGTGGCCCCTGATGGCCTGACTGCTCCCACACACTGGCTTTCCGTGGAACCAGTAAGTCCCAGTGTCTGCCTGAAGAGGAAAAGCCTTCCAAGCAGCACTTTAAAGCGGCGGGTCAGAGAGCGGGAGGCAATGTCTTGCAGGGCGTGCGGGAAAACGGGCCCAGAGAGGGGCGGGGACTTCTCCCGGGACACACGGTAAGGCCCTGGGGTTCCAGCCCGAGAGCACTTGGTCACAGCCCCATGCTGCCTCGCTGCAGAGATCCCGAAGAAGTCCTGAAGGCAGCCCGATGGGGCAGCGGCCACCAGTGACGGTGACAGAGCAGAACGGTGTTGGCGGCACGTGGGCCCCATTTACTTTAGGGCGTGGGACCGCTGGGCCTGCATGCCCGGTTCTTAGACTGATGTGGGTCCCTGCCAGTCGGTCACAGCCACGGGTCAGGGCCTCTTTCCCCACAAGGGCCTGGCCCAGCCTTGACCTTCTCAGCTCCCCTCCCCCACCGCCCAGAGCCCAGAGACTAAAGGGTTAACGCCAGGCCTGGGGCCTCCTCCCACGCACCATTCTGATTGGTGGGTGCTCAGGCTGTGGGGTTGGTACACATTTTGAACACGCTGCTGGAATTTGCAGCCATCACGCTCTGTGGAAACCCTTGCCACCACTCCCATAATTCCTCTGTCCCCTACCCCTACCCCCAGGAACCCCCCACCCCCCAGAGGATTTCAGCCTCAGATCCATCTCCACACCACCACCAAGTGCCTAAAATCCTGAACCGGCTCCATGTCGTCAGCAAGAGCACGTTTGACTTGGCGCCTGGGACTTGAGGCCGTGAGGACGTGAGCGAGAGGCGGGTTCCCGGGTCTCGCTCTGAACCAGCTCGGGCCGCGTCCTGGTCAGGCGAGCATCCCCGCGAAAGCCTTCCTAGGCTTGCGTTTTCCCTCCGGTGGCTCCCGCACGGGCTGTCCGGCGGCGTCTTAGTAAAGGTGTCTGCTTCCTCGCGAGCCTCACGTGCCCGAATTAGCACATCTCCGGCCGTCAGCCCCTGGGAGAGGCCCTGGGGGCCTGGGCGTGCTGGGCTCGGGCCGCACCCGCCCCGAGAACTCGAGCCTCCCCGAGCTCCTTCTCTGGGCAGGGGGCGGGGGGTGTCGGACGGCCCGGTCGATAGACGTCACTGTGATATCCGCATGGCCGTACCTGCAGGCCTACTCTCCAGGGAACCGGGAGGGATGACTTTTGGTCGGTGCAGCTTTTCATCACTGGGTAGCACTCAGAGGGTGTCAGGCACTCACACCGTCCCCACGACGACCCACGCGGCAGGTCTGTCTCCAATCACATTCTTCCACTGAGGCAATATTGGCACAGAGAGGTTAAGTAACTTGCCCGAGGGCGCACAGCTGGGAGATGGCAGAGCCCGGGTTAGCGCTTGTAGCATTTTGCCGTACAGTGTGGAGGGGCTGAGGCTCATCAGGACGGATCTGGACGGGCCTTCATGCTGATGTGTTGGGGAGGACATACCTGCTCCTGGCCCCCTCCCTGCTCTTTAAAACCAGAGCAGCCTGAGGCGAGGGTCCCAGTGAGGACCCCCTATCCTATGTCCCAGATAAGTACCCAGACAACTCTGGCTGTGTCATATGGCCTCCGGCTCTGAAGTCCTCCAAGACAGGGGGCCCCAATCTCTGGGCTGCAGAGCAGGAGGTGAGCGGCGGGCCAGCGAGCAAAGCTTCATCTGTATCTGCAGCCGCTCCCCAGCACTAGCATCACCGCCTCAGCTCCGCCTCAGGTCACCAGGCATTCGATTCTCGTAGGAGCACCGGTCCCTGGTGCCACAGAGGTTGGCTCTAAGACCACCGGACAGAAACCACCGTACACCCACCACTGAGCAAGCCGCCCCTCCATGTGGATGGCCCCCTCCAGGGGACCCTGGAGTACAGGGAGGCAGAGCCCTTAGCAATCACTAACCGGGGGCCTTATGTCAGGAAGGGTTCCGAGGCCCAATCAAAGTGGAAGGCGCCACGGAGGAGACCATCTCTTCTCCACCTCCTCCTTTCTGCAAGTGGGGCAAGGAGGCCCTGAGAGGAGGGAGCCCCACATCCCAAAGCAGAGGCAGGATTGCCGCTCCGCCTTCCCCAGAGCCATTTGGAGCCTCTGGGGATCCAGCCTCCCCAGCTTCTGTCCCCTGACACAGAGAACCAGTGCATCCTCTCCTCGTGGCTTATTTCTACCCTCTGTCTTTTGAATTGAGCCATTGGCCCCTACGGCCCATTATCGGACATCACAGGGACCTTTGGGCCACTTCTGGGCTCTCCCGCAGCCAGCCACCTCCATAAGCGGCCCTCCATCTGGCCACAGCCATCATTTCTTAGGCCTGGGGACCATTCAACTTCATGACACCCAAGATGTGGAAACTGCAAAAGAAACGTCTTTATTCTTTTAACTTTCTTAATATTTACAAAGAACAACATGAACACAACTGAAAATGGCTTACACAGTGGGTGGCTGGTGAACAGATGTGTAACTAGGGTTTCTGGGGTGGCTGGCAGGCCAAGGCCACACAGGGGTGGCAGGATGATCTGTTGGGCTCTCGCCTGGTTGGGGAGGGGCCAGCTGAGCCCAGTCCCACAGCTTCCAAGGCAACAGCCTGAGAAGTCCCTGCCCCAACCTTGCCCCAACCCTCCCACACACATGCAAAGGGAAGGTTCTCAAGAGGCCACACCACTGCCCAGCCTGCTCCTCATAAGGGGAGCTTCCGGGGTTCCCAACACCCCTGCAGGCCAGAGGTGGGGCCCAAGTCCCTCCCGGCCCAGCTAGAGGTAGCCAAAGACATTGAAGATGGGTGGGGGCAAGGCCGGCTTGGTGGGTATGGGTTTCAGAACCACAGGTCTGTACACTTTCTGCCCCAGACCATCCACATCCTTGCAGAAGTGGGCCAGCTCCCCTGGGGAAACCGAGCTTTTCCTCCACAGGCCCAGGCTGGGCACCGGGCTCTGAGGCAAAGCCCCTGGAGGGCCCGGGTAGCTGGGCTGTCCATGGTACTGGAAGGGGCAGCAGCTCCAGGCATTGACACGGCCCACCAGGGAGACCCCAGGCATCTTGAGTGGCTCCTTTTCAGCTGGCACCCTTGGCGACATGGGCACCCGGGCCGCCTCGGGCCCCAAGGGCTCCAAGCCCTTGCAGTGTTTCTTACCCTCATAGGGGGGTCCCGCCCTGAGGCCCAGTCCCCCCTCCAGCCCCACGGGGTAGCTGTGGGTGGGCCTCGGCTCCTCCCAGAAGGAAGCGGGCAGCTGTCTTTTCCTCATGGGCACCTGGCCAGGCCTGGCAACTTCTGGATTCTGCCCCTGCAGGGTCTGCTCCTTAGCGAGACACGCCTCCCTGTAGGGGTTCCCCAGAGCCTTCTCCTTGCAGCCCCCACCCCCGCCGGGGCCAGCATCTGGGCCAGAATCGAGGGGCAGTCTCCCGGGCCGGTCCTCGGGCCCCCTTTTCAGGTGAGGCTCGGCCCCTCGGCCGGGGAGGCCCCGCGGAAGCCGGGAGTACTTCTGGGAGAAGCGTTTGAGCTGCTTCTGCAGGTACTTGCGGTGGTCCACGGAGCGGCGGCAGGGCGCGGACTTGTCCAGGGCTGCCTTGATGTCACTGGACGCCAGGTTCACGAAGTTCAGCAGCATCTTCACGTCACTGTCAGATGCCATCGCCAGGGGGCCACTGCACAGGGCTTTCCATGAAGAGGGTGGTTCTGCTGGTGGCTGGCAGCCTCAGGGGAGGGCACAGAGCTGACCTGGAGGGACACACAGACTATTGGAGTCTCTCCAAGCAACCACACCCAGCTGTCCCCAAAGGCCACATGGTTGTGAACAGTGGGCCCAGCCGCAGCAGCCCTCAGCCCCAGACACAGAGTCCTGGGTAGAGGAATGCCCGTTCACGCCACTGAGCATTTCGTGAGCATCTGTGATGGAACGGGCTCCAACACGTTTAGTCTTCTTGGGTCTGTCGCCCTCTACTTGCAGCCGAGGCTCAGAGAGGTCAGGTGACTTGCCCCAGGTGAGCCAGCTACAAGTGGCATTGCTGGGACTGGAGCACAAGCCTCCACGTTCCCGGCCCGCCATGCCTCCCACACACCACGCTGCCAACGTGCACAACGTGCCAGCAAAGCATTTTCTCTTCTGAGCAGAGGCGACTGCCCCACTTTACAGCAAGGCCAAGCCCCCTGTCTCCCTGGTGGTGCCCTCCCCGCTCCCACCCCTGCCCCCAGCCCTGCTAGCATCGGCCCCCCTCCTCAGTCCCCACGCTCCACCCCCAGCTCTCACGCAGGACAGGCAGGACCCCTGTCTGGCACTCAGGCCGAGGCCTGCCTGGCGGGCTGAGCTCAGGCTGTGGACAGCAGGGACTCCCCGTAGAAGCATCTGCAGCAATTTCATGCCTCCTGGGCTACCACCCACAACCCCTCGCCCCTCCCCCGGGCCCCAGCCTGCCCCACACCCCCACCCAGGCAGACCCGGCAGCCTGGGCCTCCACACTGACCGAGGGTGCGGGCCCCGGGCCCCCCAGCAGGGCCCGGCAGGTTCCCCGCCGCAGACCTGGGCCAGGCCCGGTGCGGCCGGCGAGCTCCGAGCGTCCGGCTGGAAGAGGTTGTGCCGCCCTCGAGTGGGCTGAATGAAGGACGAGTCTCAGAGCTGGGGGGCCCCTCAGGCCAATCAGGAGCGCCTCTCCAGATACAAAGCATCCCAATCAGGCGGCAGCGCCCCGTTCCCACATTCTTTGCCGTCACAAATTGTCACCATGGGGACCATCACAAAAAAGACAGCTCCCAAATGCAATCATTTCCCGGTAAATTTCTACCCTTCAGCCCCGCTCTCCCCCTCGGCCTCCACGCCCTCCTCCCCTTGACCTCGGTTCCCTGGTTTCTCGAGGGGCAGTGTGTGTGTGTGTGTGTGTGTGCATGAGTGCGTGCGTGTGTGCGTGTGTGCGTGTGTGTGTGTGTGTAAAAAGTCCAAGACTGAGAAGAGATGGGCCTGAGATCCGACCCCCAGGCTCCAGGCCGGCAGCTGCCATGCTCCAGTGCAGACAGACAATCGGACGGGTAAGCCGGCTGGGCGGCCTTCGGGCGGGCGGCCTTCCCCGCTGTCCTTGAGTGTTGAGTGGCTCTCTCCTCTCCCTCTCCCACCCGCGCTCCCTGGGGCATGGGCCCCGGCGGGCCTGTGAGGGCCAGCGGCACGCTGATGCGGGCAGAGGTAGCCGGGAAGGACTCTCTAATGAGGGGCTGGGATATCCATGGGAAGGGAGCTGGAGCGCTCAGGAATCTTGTCTTTATGTTTGCTTCCTCAATTGAGCTGCACAAAGCCTGAATTGCCCATTCAGCGCGGCCGGACAAAAGGTTGGCGTTGCACGGTCCCCTTGCATTTGTAGTCAAACAGTTAGGGACTTAAATCGAGTCGTCATGATGGAGAAAGAGGTGGACAAAGCCCATAGAATTGCCATCAGCAAACATTTTCCTGTGTCATATTAGCCAGTCTCCATGGCTCCCCCTGGCCTGGGGACAATGGCACAAGTTTGCACACTTGGTTACTGTCACCGTGCCAACGCCGGCAGGGCCACAAGCAGGGCTGCTCCGAGCGAGCACGGAGCCCAGAGCCAGCCGTTGGCCCTGCCCACCGACTGGCCAGAGGGAAGGTGAGGCCGCTGGCAGAGGAAGGCTCCCTGAGACGTGCCGGTGGGAGAGGCCTCCACGCCAGCCAGCCCGGAGGGTCCCCTGTGCCTCCTGCCTTTCCCCTCCTCCCCTCCCCTTTTCTCTGCCACCTTCTCCTGTCCCCTGGCCCAGTGGCTGGTGGTCAATACGCCAACCCGCACTTTTGTACCACAGCCTAAAATGCCAAGGACTCCTCTCCGAAGTCCCCCACCCAGACTGGAAGCACGGGCAGGGCAGGGCAGGACCGGGGCGTCCCCCAGGAGTGATGGTCACACCCCCTCCTGCTGGCCGATGGGCAGCTGCTGCCCGTACAAAGCGACCGCCCACAGTGGCCTGGCTCCAAGCTACCTCCTCCTCTGGCCCAAGGGTCCCTGCAGGCAAAATGAAGGTTTTGGTGGAGAGGGCCCTGCTGTGAGATTCGAAAAGCGTGAACTGAGAAGGAGGTGACTTTGGACTGGACCATCCGGGTCACTGGCCATCCCAGGGCCTGAAGAGTGGTTCCCTATCTGCAGCAGCCTTCGAGGGAATGAGAGCTAAACCATCGTCACTTGAAGCTTCTGAGATCTGGGATTACTTGTTTCTGCAGCAGAACCCAGCCCACTCTGACCGGTACGGGCAAGAAACACCCTTTCCACCCCAAACCACCCTATGACACGTCGCTGGACAGAATGCCGAGGTCACCGGGCCGAGGTCACTGGGTTAGGCTTCCGTGCAACTCCCGTCACAGCCGCCGCTGCCTACCGCATGGGACCCAGGGCACGCAGACCTGGCCTGTGTTCAAATTCCTCCACAGCCCGGCGCCAGCCCACTTAACCACCTTCTCCACTATTCTCCACTGGGAGACTTGGCCTCAAGCCATCCCGGCCCCATGCCCGCCCTGGCTTCCTGCACGCGCTGTGTCTGCTCCTGCTGGTCCCTCCCTCTGGAACACCTGCCGCCTCCCAAGAGCATGGAGGCGTTCCCGCACCGCTCCGCTTGGCCCCAGCTTCCTCCCAGACTCTACGGCACCTGCAGTCGCGTTAGCTCATCCTGGCGTTGACTGCTTGTGACGTTGTCCCCTTGTTTCTCGGCCAGTCATGACCCCCCGCAACCAGCCGGTGAGCTCTGTGGGAGTCAAATCTGAATCTTTAAGAATCTTTCCAAATCTTAATATCGGCTCCTCTTCCCATATGTTCTTCTCGCTTTTTGAGGAAAGAGGGAAGAGAAGAAGAGAGGAGAGAGAAAAATGGAAAAAAGAAACTGATACTTGTTGGGCACTTAATATGTGCCAAGGCCGGAATCCGTGATGGAGCACGAAGCACCTCGCCTGATCCTGGGACAGCTCCACGAGGGCGTTCTTGTTGCCCTTTACAATGAGGAACGGGAGGTTGAGTCCCTTTCCCAAGGATCACAGCTAATAACTGGCAGAACTTGACCTTGAAGCCAGGCTCATCTGCACGCAAAGCCCGTGTGGATCCCACCACGCCACATCGCTTCTTCCCAAGCACTGGGCACTGATGAAGTGCGCTCAGGTCCGAAGGCCTCACAGGCCAGACTGTCTGCGTCAATCCTGGGTTCGGCTCTGCTGTCCCCTCCTCGAAATGTGACTCTCAGCCTCCGACTCAGGCATGTGGGCGCCGCGGCTATGGGAGACCAGTCCAGGGGAGAGGAGGCAGCTGCAGCCTGAGAACCTGATCTACAGTCTTGTACTGGCCTGGCCACACCCCCGGCTCAGGCCAGCCCTCTGGGGACCGCCTTTGACCCCTGCTGGGGCAGGCTGCTCTCTGTTTTTCTAAGAGGCCTTATAGACAGGTTTAAAAATAGTAATAATAATTATGCCTCATTCTAGAGAGCCCTTTCACAGTATTCTCTCAGTATGGTCCTGCGTCTGGGCAAGGGGAGAATTGTTTTCCTTATTTACAGTTGGTGACACAGCCGAAGACGAGCCTCGAACCACCGAATCTTGGGCCCAACTCAGGGCTGCTCAGCCAACACTGTCCTCTCAACATTTTTCAAAGTCCATCTTGAACATCTAGGAGACATTCAACTCCCAGCATTATACATGACACCCTCTCCCATCCCTACATTTATGGATTCAAAGATAAAGTCTAACCTCCTTAGCTTACCAAAGAAGGCCCTTTGTAATTTGACCCCTATAGGGGTCTTACACAGAGTAGCTTCTCACTAAATGTTTCATGAGTTAAGTGCTTTGCCCACTCCACTGAATAGAATTTTTCCTGTGGACTGGAAACAACTGTTCCCGTCTGTTTTTCATTTATTGTTTGCCTGGCTGAGCTCCACAAGAACAAGGAACTCGTCTGCTGGTTCATCTCTGTCTCTCCAGTGACTAGAATGGCCTCGGCACAAAGCAGGCCTCAAAGAAGGACTCTTGCGGTTGCAATGATTGTACTTGATGGTGAACTGTGTTCTTTTGGGATGCTGGGTGCCCTGAGAGCAACTGCTGTTTCACAGTTGCATCCCCCTGTGCCAGAGCAGGGTTTCTATCACGCTCTATGAGCAACAAGTGAGCTAGCTGCGCTAACTCGACCTTGAGTATCCTTCCCCTACCACTGGCTGTCACTGCCGCGGATCTCTGATACTCCAGCTGTGCTAACCTCGCCTCGAGTTTATTCACATCGTTCGGTGTCAGGGACTCGCAGCTTCTAGTCAACCCCGTTCAGCACCTACTATGTGCCTGGGACCAGAAGGTGTGGGGTTGCTTACTTAGCTTGCTCCTGCATCCCAGGGACAGCTTGTTGGAGGGAACACTGACTTTGTCTTGATGACTCAACAGCCACCTTCCGCCCACCTTCCAGTGAGACAGAATGACAGGACCTAACTTTCCTTGGTTTCCCAAACTCACTACTAGAAGACGCCCATCCGGAATCTCCGGATGTCACCTGACATAATCCACTTCTAGGATTTTGCCAACACACGTGCAGATGGATATTGAAAGTGGTGACAGGCACTGATCAAGCCAGAGGGAGCTGGGGAGGTCAGCTAAGGGGGTGGGCTTCCAAATTACATTTATGCAGAGCCGCCCATTAAAAAATACGATGGGGGAGCCCCATATGTCAAACAGCGACAGCCCTGTGCCGGGAATATGGGGTTCCTGTACACACGTGAATGTAAACCATGGACTGGGACAAGGAGGCCGTTCCGATGACAGAGAACTTTGAAATCAGGCGTTATGGCTTATGGTCTGACATTAGCCATTTGTTTCGGTTGCAGAATATGTAGAAAAATCTGGATTTAGAGAGACAAGCCGCTGAAATGGTCAATCTTAAAGCCTGTCTTGCAATCTCAGGATAGTCATCGAAGGACAGGTTTGGAGCTGAACTTTACCAGCTGAGCGAAGTCCGTAGCACGTATTGGGCCATTTGTTCTTCCCGGGTGCCATGATTACTGTTTTAATAGATAAGGAAACTGAGGCACAAGTCAGTTAGGAAACTTGCCCAAGGTCCCCTGGTCAGTAAATGACAGAACCAGGATTGGGATGCTGGCAGCGGGAGCCAGACCCTAGGTCATGACCATTGTATTACGCTGCTCCCTACTGACAACTATTAACCAACACACAGGCCCTAACTCCCTCCCAGGATCTTTGCTAGTCCCGGTGATGCAGACACACCCAGCCCTCCCAGACCTGGAGAGTTAGGTCCCACCACAGGAAACATACGGGAAGGTGGGTGGGGGAGAGTGGGGGAGGCGTGCGCAGCACCTGCCCAGTGCCTCTTGGACATGTGACACAGACATCACAAGATGAT